TTTTTTTTGAAGACTGTGATGATCTGAACGAAATTTAAAACAGGTATGTTATATTAAGTTAGGTATATCGCAGACCTTTAACATAAAAAGTTACTAATTATATTAATATTTTAAATTAAATTCAAGATTCAAACATAATATTTTTTCATTGTGTTTCGAAAATTATTTCTTTCAAATGTCGACCGCCAGAGCAATCAAATAATTACGTATTCATTTCAATAGGAAGTGTATGTCGGCCCACTCTGTATATTTTTTGCAGAGATCACGAAAGTATTACTTAAAACTTAGTCGTAATTAATTATATCAACAAGGATTAAGTTTTCATCAGTCGTTAGTCACACGATGCTACAATAACGTCGCCGATCCCTATTAATTACATTACACGTTTATAAGAAATTTTGCAACTTGTTACGTACATTTTCAAACAGCTCTTAAGCTTCAAGATTCTCATTGTCAACGAGACTTCGAATGCCAATGTTCGAATACCTTGGCTAGCCATTTTCAAGATAATCTCTCGATCACTTGCACAATTCTCTAGAAAACTATAAACGACAACCACAATGATCCGAGGAACGAGCGTACGAGGTTCGAACGAAGAAAATTCAACAGAATATTCCCGTATCATCGCGTTCCTTTCGCGTTTAATCGACCCTGTCACTTCTTTTTGCGCGACGAGTTGCGAATTTCCCAAACTGTCTCCATTCCCCGTAATTTACATGTGTAACACGCTGATCCGCGCGCTCGCCTCCTGGAATTTATGCGCGCGTACAGCGAACACGTATACATGTATATTCCACGTGTTTCAGCATCGTCGCGGAGCTATCGCGAGAGCTGTCCAAGATATTTTACGGATCAGTCGCGAATGTCGATCGCGAATGCAGTGTACGCCGTGCCTTTCTAATATCCTAGAAATATACATAACACACACACACACGCGCACACACGCAGCGTGATATAACTGTCAGGCTGTAATTCTCGTTTCTACTAAGGTTACTTGCCTGTTGCTCGTTCGATTAACGGTCGATTAAGCCTGTCGGGCAGCCGTTAAGGAGATACGAGAAACAGCGAAAGATATGAAATGCAAGATACTTTATAATTTCAGATAACGTTATGAATGGTAACGAGCCTCTGGCCCGCCTTCTACGGTGCGTGCATATGCGCGCATGTACGTATACCTGGCTCTCTGTGTGACTGTATACAGGGTGATTCACACAACTGTAACAAGCAGAATTTTTTCTCTTTTTACTTATTTCGTTTTCTCGAAAAAAAAAAAAAAAAAAAAAAAGTCTTTATTTTACGTTTTCTCGCGTCGTTCTCATCGAAATTTTCCCCGTTTATTTCGTTCGTCCGGT